TCTTTCTTTCAACAATTAGAGAATTCATTTCCCTTTCTTCCCGAAGCGTGCAAAAGCCCTAGATGTAGCCTGACCCATCTGAAAGGCTATAAAAGGTTACAAGGAAAAAAATTCCAATATTTTGGGCCCATCAAAACAAGTTTGCCCCCTCCGAAAATTTGGTTCCGGATTCGGCCTTGTCTTTGTGTATTCAAAAACAGAAAACAGAACACAAAATATTTGAAAGATCCTTAAAATGCAAGTTTTTGGGTTAAATCAAAATAATTAAAAGAGAGCAACAAAATAAAGTTGAAAATGTATTAGGGGGCTTTTGAAAATTAACTTTGATGAGCCTTCCTTTTCTCCTTTACAACTTAAGAATTCGGGGGTTCAGTGGACCCTTTTCTTACCCTATTCCTCCGTAGTTCCATAATAAAAAGCACAAAATATGAATCTTTGATTTGTCTTTTGGGGTATGTAAAATGCACCAGACTGCAGTATTTGATTTTGTTTTTAGATTTCCCTCGGGAGTCGTCCCCTGCATCCTCTTTATTGATCCAAAACCATCCTATTTCGAACCCTCCCCCTTCTGGTAATCGTGGGTAAGTAACAGGGGTACGCCCTGTTTTGAGTTTAGCACGTTTCAAGCTTAATCCGATGAAACAAGACATTACGTATTTTCAAGATGAAAAAAAAAAAGAGATACAGTAGAAGTTATCACCCCCTGTGACCTTTATGCCTTTTTAGTAGATGTCTAAATTATCAAATTCGCACAAACAATCTTAACAAATGTCATTACGGTAGAACAAAAACGAATGCTCCTAGTCAAAAATGTTTGATAATTTTTTTTTCAGTTTGATTAAACAAAAGCTAAAAATGTATGGCAAATGATGAAATTAAAAATCGCAAGTGCACAATATCGATTCGGTTGAACGAACTAGAAGAATCACATACATTTGACCTTCCGTCCCTCGTGTCGGAACATGGGCGGCCCAGTCAAGAGGAAGGAAATCCGGGAATATAGCTGGTTACTTCTGTCTTTGATACAAAACCAACCTTTGATGTGCAGAGCTTTCAAAAGTGTCGCTCCTTTCGAGAACCGATCTATTGCGTCCATTTCAGATAGAAGAGCGTAGTTTAATTTATGATCACTATGTCTTTTACTCTCATATTTTTTAGTAAAAATTTCCCTGTTTTGTTTCTTTTTTGAGCCAGAGTCATTGTACGGCGACAAGGGTTGTCAACCTTTGTCCAAATACAGTCGACTTTTGTGTGAATGTAATGTTTGTACCCCTAACTTGCATACGGTAAAAAGAAAAACCTGCACTCAGTCATGCTTACTTTTGGGTTTTATGTATATAATCATTATTATTTTTGGGATATTAATCGTTCCTATATTTTCAGTAATGAACCCCCCCCAAAAGAAAAGATCAGAGTCAGAGTTTAGATAATGTGATCCTTTTATTATGTTAGTTTGTTTTCATACCTTGAGTTTTTTGGTTTGTGTTGTGTTTTGTATTTTGGTTTTTGTTTCGTTTATGTTTGCATTTCAAATCATTTTAATTGTCTTATTTTTCGTGACATTTTGTTGCGTTTGTAGTAATTGTCATTTGTTTCTTGATTTTGGTCTACTCGTGGAGGAATATTCCTCCATGGTCTACTTCAGTTCAGCAGAATTTACTTTGCTTTGTTGTGTACTTGTTTTATTTTCCGTTTGATGGAAATATTATTGATCTTGGTAATTTACTTGACGAAAGAGGGCGCCAGTTAGGTTGCATAATAGCACTCTCGAGTCGAATTGTTACTGCGTAAGCTGTGTGTCCACTGAGCATGCTAAGTGCTGTTTTCTTAAGTAAATTATTATAATTTGCGCATCTAGACCTTTGGCCACCGCTCTACCATTCATAAATACGATGAGTCACCTTTCTTCAGCTCCCGATGTTGCAGACACAGCATCATCACAAGAGATCAAGGACGACGCTGGCCTTCCGACCCCTGCTTTTTCGAGTACTAGTACGTCAACGCAGAAACAGCCTACCGCGATGGAGCCCACACCGACGGCGATGCGGTGCAGGATCGGCTTGGCCGTGACCGGCATCTCGGTCGGCGTGCTGGTCTTCATCGTGTTTTTGGCCATGGCGGATTTCAGGAATTATCACATTGCATGTTGGGGATTGGCAAGTGGTGAGTTAAGCATGACCCCTAAATGACCCTCAATATTCATGCACCTTACCCCGGTCATGCATCACAGAGGAACAATCCTCCATGATATGATTTGAGTGACATTACTTACCCCAGGCCACAATCATGACAATTATGTCCAGCATGACTAGAGGCACGGCTGAATCAGATGAGGCCTGAGGCTGGAGGCAACATGCCAAGTGCACATCCTCTCGTGCGTCTAGTGCAGAGTACATCCCACCGACCACCCCAGCTTAGTTTGGTCATAGAGCAATAAAATCAATTGGCAAATCTGTGTTATGTCTGCATGAGAACCAGGCAGGCATTAAAGGCCCACGGTGCCCCTGGCATTTGATTCTTCTTCTCCCATCTACATTATAGAACTAGTGAGAAAAGCCTTCATAATACACACATACAATTTACAACCAGCAAAATGAACAAGCACAAGGGAGATGTTGAATCCACCCATACATGTAAATTGACGGGCTCATATAGGCAAATCTAGGTGTACCACCATCACCAGAGCATGCATTAGAATGCTGCATTTTGTATAACCGACATAAACACGGTACAGCATACAGCACTGGGGCATTTATGGGATCTACTGTAGGTAGCATATGAAAGTACGTGTATTTGTTTCTGAGACATGCACAATATCCAAAGTGTTGAATTTTGATATTAACATCTGGTCTGGTTGCAGGAATCTTTGCCGTCTTTACACTTATTGTCCACATACAACACCTGAAGGGTAATCATGATGTTTGGCTGAATCGTCTCAAACTGCCCATCATTCTTGGATTCTTTGTACAGCTTGGAGCAGTAGCGGCTTTCATCACCTACATTGCCTTAGCTGCTGTGCAAAAGCAACGTAAGCAGATAATTTTTTGGTGGAATTTATTGGAGTTTTGGAAATGTGCCATTTCACTACAGAGACCGCAGTATCATGGGCACTGCATGCAAGAAAAATCTCGGCTAATTTCTGAATAAAACTGCAGCATTCTCCAACCTTCAAAAGAAACCCACAAAAGCTTTTCTTGTCTCCAGTCATGTTTAAAAAGTAGCCACCAGTCTTTAAAGTCTTGCCGTGAAGTTTAACAATTTGGGTGCTATATTCTGGAATATTTCAACTTATTCAACTTGTATACATGTACATACCTATTGTAGCCAAATTTTGATGAAAAGAAGCTGTCTATAACTCTATGATTGCTTCCTATTTCAAAAATGGCAAGGATGTCAAGAAATGTGCAAGATTTTTGACAAGGTTTTTAGTGAGCTACAAATCCACATCTCCCGTTAAAATATTTGTGTAAGTCTCCATCAAGTTGAAATTAACTTAGAGAATACTGCAATTGGGTATGCATCCTACAGATTAGCTAAGAATTTAAGGTCATTATTATGCACATCCTGAAACTAGGGAGTTTGTGCTTACAGGGTCAATTGGAATTTTGGTGCTTCAGTGCATCTTGTAAGAATACATGTTGAATGATGATCACAAGTGACAGAATTTGTGGCTTGCAGAACCATGGAATTGGGTCTAGAATGTCTCACTGAACAAAGAATGTCCTTTTCATTTTTCTGTACAGCTCACTTTACCTTCAGAACCAATACAGGACCATACAGAAAAGTTATTTTGCTCATGAAGTCAATACAGTTGTATTAAAATTTGTGGAGATTACAGGTCAATTTTTTTGGATTTTTGCCCTGCCCGACGTGTAGTTTAACACTGTATACTCAGTGTATGCCCCCCAGGGCTTGTGAAAAAAACCACAAGTGTACCCAACAAAAAAAATCAAGAAAAAAATTTTTTTTTCAATTAATTTACATCTCCCCTGCGCAAATCCATCTTTGAAATAGATTACAGGTCATGAGTACAACAGATAGATCATGCATTTACCAGTAAATATTGATAAGAATCAATATGTGTAGCTGTGGGATTTTTTCCTCTGATTGTGTCCAACCTGAACTCCTCTCTGCAGCTGTCACACCACTGAATGGGCCCCACCGCGGTTACTACGTTGCAGCAGTCTGGGTCTTCATGACATGGAAATGGTCCTTTGCTCTCTTCTGGTATTCAAAAAGTTACCGACGATTTTACATCACCAAGTATGTCTCCATTCCCTGAAAATGCTGTTATATTTTGAGAAAAAAGAAAAAGCTCATGAGATATTGAATTCATTTCATTATAAGTTTTTCTGTGTGTCAAGTGTAATTCTTTTGAAACTGAGAATGTGTGTGCATGTGCGAGAACGAACTGCCCAAGAAGAAAATGTCTCCAAATTCTCCAGAACCATGAATGTCAAATGATGTTTATGATGTTTATTCATTTTGTCAACCATGAGCATGATTTGAATCAGGGGAAATTTGTAACTTGTAAAATGTTGAAAGTGTGGCTTTATCGTAAAGATTGAAAAGAGAGAAGTAATTCTGTATATTTCTTTTTGTAAACTATGTTTCTGCTGCCTTACTGGACAACAGGGCACCGATAAATTTTACTTCAAGACAATACATGTATATTCAAAGGAATGCTTTAAGTCATTGATTTCCCGAATGATTGACAGATTTTGTTTCATTTTATTTTTAAAATTCTTCCAAAGATGCACAGAGTTACTTTGTAGAAAAATGCTACATGAGCCTAAATGCAACTTCAGTGTAAGAGTAGGGGATACTCCGTGTTAAAAGCAGAGAATTTATGCATACTTCCATTGGAGTGCATTTCTAAGACATACTCAATTGAAGTAACAACTCTAAATTTATACATGTTCACCTGTATGGGAATTGTTTGAGAACAGAAAAATTGTTCCTTGAGATTTTCCTTGACACTTTCTGACTTTGTGGCAAATTAGCTAATGGAAATATATCTTCTTTGTCATATTGTGTGCCGAAGCCTTGAGCCCAAAGTTATAATCAGAAGCAGAAAAACAGCTTTAAAAGTAATTTTCTAAAATGGTTTATCATTATCTGGTATGTGCAAATTTCTTGCTTCAACTGTTCAAATTTGTATTAGTAATTGTATACCATCTCATATGTACCGAGACAGCAAAAAGTATGTTTCTACAAGATATTGCATAGTGTGAATGTACATACATATATGTATGTGTATTTTTTGTTTTCCAAACAAATCACCACACAAAATTCTTTTTGCTGTAGAATATTTTGCTTTTGTAAAGTGCAAGCAAAGTTCACATAATTGGTGTGTTTGAATAATACAAAAGGTGTGTGTTTTATGAGCAATTCTATATCAAAGTCAGAGCTATTAGTGTAAGAGTGAATTTTTGTTCTGTTCATGATTCATGATGTAAACTTACGTGAGCAGTCTTGTGATGTAGATTTACAAAGTCCCAAATTCTTCTCGTTTTGGTTTTGTTGATTGCATGGGCTTACATGTAACAGACATAAAACATAACATCACTCACCTTTACAGGTGCACCTTTCCTATCTGGGCTCCATGGGTGTGTACCACCCCACTGCTACAGGATAGGGCACGTGTGAACAAAGCATAACGTCATGAATCACAGATAAGTCTATCAGCCTTTGCTTTCTACAGGACTATTGACTTTGTCAAAGTGTTATTGAGGACGTTCCTGTGAAAAAGAAGCTATTATTATAGGACTTGCCAGGGAGGGCATTCCCTGAATTGAAATAGTTGGGGGAGGACTTGTTCCCTGGCCACCCCCCCCGCCAGTGTGCAGTGGTGATGATGCACATGACAAGTTGTGATTCATTGTTGGTTTTGGTTTTAATTCAGAAGCACTTGTTTTCACCAATTGTACAGGGTACGCATATTGTGCTAGTAAGTGTGTGTTTTTTTTTTTTTTGCAGTTTAACATTGTCCATATGAAATGTACTTAAAAAAAAAAGACCTGTGCCAGTGATACGGTTTCACAGATAAGCAACAGGGGTCCCGTACATGTAAATCATTTGACTGTACACCCCCTCCCCTGTCATTGTGGTGTGGCAATGAGTTAATTGATTTGGGGATGTTATGCAGAGTCACTTTCAGGACTTGACAGGGTCACAGGGTCAAAACAAAATTAATGTGGATCACCAAATGCCCAGTGGTTGTTCAGAGTTATTGTTCTTTTGTGTTGTAATTTAAAGAAGTAAATATATGCTCCTTGAAGTTACATGTAGGTCATAAATATGGTCTTCTTTGGTAGAAATTTTGACTGCATTTTCACGACGAATGGATCAGTATCAATAAAGTAAATCTGGGAACAACTGCTTCTTGGATTTTGTGCTTTAACGAGATTGCAGGATGTTGAGGGAGTTGCGATGGTTTTTTGATCCTCACTTTTGACCTCGGTCTCTGCATGGTTTTGACCTGAACTACAGCGGTGTCCAAATCAAGTGGTTCCTGTACAGTGTGAATGCTCAGTGGAATATGGCTGCAGCCAGTGGCTTCCATGGGTGCTAGTGTTGGTTTCTGCATTCAGATATAGCCAAATGGACCCTTTGCATTAAGCAGCCATCTTGGAGGCACACACATTTATGAACTCAGCAACAGTGAAGGCACCAAGGGTGCTCATCCCAATGGAACCAAAGCACAAATATGCATCTCATGTAAAGGATAGATCTACGTGAATGTGGTTTTCCCCTCAAATTTTTCAAACCATGAACGATTCCCTGCCTAGTTCCTGAAATATCTCCTATCCAAGCTAAGGGGAGAACACTGCTAAATAATATATTACATTACCCGCAAGATAAATAAGAAATGTGTAATACAAATAATTTTACGGCGTTATCTGGAAATGTGAAGCTACTCTACAAATTCGACATTTTACAGAAGTGGATTATCACCAGTACACATTTTTGACACATTTAAAATTGCCACATTCCTAATTGCCCTTCTCTGTATGTTTGACACCACAGAATGCATCAGCACCGCATATATACATAATTTAACACGCAGTGGTCCATATTATTAAAATTTTTCCATCTGCAACATGTACAGCTGCATGTGACGGTGTACTAAATTATTACTCGGCTTCAAGATGATGAAAGACTTGTTCAAGAAAATCAATGAAGAATCTTGCTCCACAGGTGATAAGTCAGTGTGTGCATTCACACGTCCAGGTCTGAGGAAGTTGAAGAGCATATACTCTCCAGAGTTCTTCAGTGTGTAATAAACCACCCTGCTCTGTAACACAACACATCCTCACCCATCATGTCTTATCTAAGCAGGCGATGTCGCCTCTGCCGACATGGAAAGTCCACCGCAAATGCACAGGCTGATATAGGTAAATCTGTAATTAAGCAGAAGAGCTGAACTGCTTTTTTCCTCTCATTTTTAAGAATGTGATTTCAAATTAAAAAAAAAATAAAACATTTTATAAAATTATTTCTTACATGTTGGTATGGAGCCCAATCCACTGATAAAAATGCAATTTATGTTCTGATTGCAAATCCAAAAATTTAGCTTTAGCATTACTACTGGCATACCACACAAAGTCTCACATACAAAAACATGGGTTTGAAAACATAGAAAATTTATTTTAAAACTATTTGTTCAAGGCTCAGGTTACCATTGCTTGGTCGAAATAATCAAGCTTTACTCGCAAAGACCAAAAAAAAAAAAAATCATATCTCTGATTGAAATCTTGGGGTCGGCATAAAAAACGAAGATCGATGTAGTATAAACCACATGTGTATTTGAAGATGTAATTGTCAGTTAATACTGCATGCTATTCATTAAAACATGTACTAACTCCTGCTAACAGGAGCAAATTCAATAGTGCTATAGAGTAGCAAAGTGAATATGTCACAGGCACAATTATGTGCGTAGAAGGCAGTAGCACGAGAACCAGCGCATGAACAAATATGCGCAAGTGCTCCATTTGTTTGCACTACACTTCCTGGTTCAAAATGACATCACACTTCGGTACTCTACACTGTACATGCATATTCATACTGTCAACCATAAAGATATACATGTACTAGGTATGCCAAATCCGCCATATGTAGTGCACTACTGACTGCCCCAGATCCCCTTGGTTGCAGCGGCGTAGCAAACAGAATTCAGGTCACTGAAGCACGCATGCCGACACATCATCAAAGTTCCTCAGTAAGAACAAATACCAGTAGTTCTCATCATCAAAGTTCCAAAACCCAGCACAGTAAGAGATCTCGGCCATCATGGGCCCTGCAAGTTTTGACAAGTGACGATCAGTCAACTGGTTGGTTTTGCCTGGTAACCAATTAACAATTAACCCGGGCACCGGCTACAAAACATAAACTGACCACTGGTTGACTTGTGGTTACTGATCAAACTTTACCATGTCTGATAACTCTACCACATTTAAACTGAGCAAATAATGTCCCAAGAGTAACCCACCCTGACCTGGTGTAAATTTAGAACTGAATGGATACCAAGGTTAGCTTTCTAATGACTTTGTGGTTGAACAGGAATAAACAGCCTTACCCTTCCCATGAATCTTGCTGTTGTTCACCCAGAAAAAATTTCACCACATTGTACGAAACTAAATTGAAAAAAAAAATCACTGCTCTTTGCAATGAGAAAATAACAAACTGTGCACTTTACAACTTATATTGAAGCAGCACTCTTTGCAGTCACTTGCAGCAATGTGTGTACAAACATGCACGTTCAATCGAAGGAAAGTTGGTACTGTTTTACTTGTGCCCCTGTTTTTTTACATGCATATGCCAACATACCAATTCTATAAAATCTTGCTCCCATTCAAAATATTCTTAGTAATTAAAGCTACTGCTATAATACAGAAAAGTACCGTTGTGAAATACATGCAGTCTTGAATACTTCGAGTGAATCCCAAATGTTAAAAGCACTTGCCTCAGAAGAATCAAAACCGACAACATTAGAAGAACACAGACCATCCATATGATATAACCATACTACAAACAGCAATCCAGAGCAACTGCAAAATGTCAGGAATCCACTTCTAGACACTACAGTCAAACTAATTATACTGAAAAGTTGGCAGCTTCTGGTCAGCCAAAGTACTTGTGGCACCAAAAATTAAAATATCATTAAGTAAAAAGCCGCATATAATATATTTCTTTATTTAAAATATTCATACTCCAAACAGATACAAACACTGCAATACTTCTTGCACACTATTTGGGGAAATCTTGGAAAAACTGTCCTCTTTCATTGGAGAAACAAAAGTGAAATTCCACATTTTAAAAAAGGTGCTGTGTACAAACCAAAATTGATATAAAACAAAAATGATACAAACCAAAATAAAAAAGAACAAATGATGTGCAAAGGGTTGTCCATGCCAGGCATAATGAACAGCTCTCAATGGCTCGGCTTTACAAAAATTATTTCAGCTGTTTTCAACAACCATCCGCTTCATTCACAATTCCAACTGAAGCACACAAGTCGTTGTTTGAAGAAGTTTTTGACAGCACCATTTATGTTTAACTCCATGTGAACTGTGTGCCTCCGAAGAAAAACAGTTAACATGAAGTTTACGGCTGAGCACAGCAGTGTTTGTTTAATTCGGCAAGGTTCTTGTTGAGTCCTTCACATGGCCTTTTCACAAGTCCAGTCTCATGCTGCAGGACTACATACGACACGGAAATTCTCTTGTCACAGTTCATTTGAAGAGCTTGTGACCTGTCTTAAGACAAGATGGCCTGTGAAGGACTTGCAGAGACGTAATGGACTTAACTGCAGCCTTAGTTCTCGGTAGAATCCTGAAAATGAGCACGGCAAACTACTCAGAACACCAAGAACAGGTAAACTTGACATTTTGAACAGTGTGCTCTACAGCATCATATGTTCATCTTCAGACCGCTACCGAAGACAAAAAATCATCAGATGCCATCTTCAGCAGAGTTTTGAAGATGGGCACAGCTCTGTTTGAAATGTCAAGTTCTAGGGACCGAGAGTGACCTCAAACCTCTCTACTCATTTTACATTTTGTGACGAAACACGAAACATACTTTTACCTTACAAATACCTTTGAACCTCAAAAAGTAAACATGTTCTCAGATGAGTCCTGTCACTTAATATTTAGCCAGACTCATTCAATTTATATTTAACAGCCAAGGATTCAGTACTCTTAGGGTTAATTCACTGCTTTTTCAGAATGAAAAATAACCCAAGGTGAGTGTCAGTTTATTTCACTTAAATTCAATTAACTAACAATTGGGCTGTGTGATAACTGAAACTTGCATTGCTATGGACGGAAATCTGATTTGGGTCCTCCAGGCTCTGAATACAACGCTGAATACAAGTGCCACTCCACTGCACCTTCCATGCTTGAACTTCAACCAAATATAGATCAGGGTTCATTTCTGCCATATGTATCGGTATGGTGCCACACATTGGCCTTTACTGATTAGCTTACTTTGGTTTGTTATCACCTGGGACCATTTGAAGTATGAAAATAATGACAGCACCAATTTGAACCACCGATCTGCTGAATAGGGGTTGATTAGCACCAGTGATGTTCTTACTAATATTTTACCACATTATGTAATGGTAAATAGTATGTATTTTGGTCCATTTCTGGCCACATTTGTTCATCACATGACCGACAGAATACAAAAAAGTTATTGAAGAGACTTTTTCTCAGAAGAGTACAAAAATATTAGACAAATGTGGTACCAAATATAAAAGTCTGCTGGCTTAAGAAAAATATCCCTGACACTTCCAATTTCATTGACAGTTTTACGTGAAGAATGTCATCGAATACTTCACAAAATACTCACCAGTCGGTTTCAAAGCAACAAATGGAAAGAATACTACTTCAGCCAAACTGGGATAGAAACATGCTTTAAAGGAACTCCAAAGTTAAAACTCTTTTGAGTCTCTCCATGAGCAACTCCGCATTTTCTTTTGTACCGAGTTTTGGTTCACAGATATAAAACATTTGACTTGTGGACTATCAATTTGAACATTGTGGCAGTGGCTTCTTCCTCCAGATTTTATTGCCACATTTAAAGTTACACCATTTACATATTTCACATCAAAATATAATGAAAATATAATTTCTCTCTGTATTTGGTCCCTTTTGCACGAGACTCAGAATTAACAACTATAATTATTGCTTGTAATATTTTGATTTGCGCACGACTATTTTTTTGTTAGCAAAAGCTACAACTTTCGTAGTATATCTCTGTACTAATTTAGTACAATTCTAATACATTTCATGTGATGTTGATGCATTGACAATAAAGTATTTAAAGCAAGTCCACTGAGGCCGACAGAAAAAATAACAAATTAAAGCAAAACAGACACACCACAAACAAGTTCAGATTACATGTTCCCCTCTCCCCCCAAAAAAGAAATGAAGAGACACAACCACACTGGTGGGGGTAGGGGAATGGAACCATTCCTATCAAAAGGAAAAATTTGGGGGAACGGAAAAACAAGTGATTTTACACGTCATTTCAATTCCCTTCTTTCAAAAAGTGCATAAAAAGCCTCCCAAGAGGTTGTGAAAGGTTTCATAAAGAAATTACCAAATTTTACCTCCCCCCCAAAAAAATTGGTTCTGGATCCACCCTTGAACAACCAGTAACATTACAGAAACAAAGAGAGATGATTAGCACCTCACAGTTAAAAGACAAAATGAAAAAAACCTGCCCTCTGACAAAATCAACCAATTACCGGCACACCATTTCTGGATTGGACCCTTGGCTATTGCCTTCTGCTGATGACTGAGAGCTACTGGTGGAGGCCTCGGAGGCCGACGCTTGGCTTGTGCCTTCCTGGAAGTAGCCATGAGCCAGAGTTTCCGTTGCACTAAGCCGATTGTCAGGACTGAAGCACAGCAGTTTCTGTAGGTTTGGGGAGGGATTGACCAAGGGTAAATCATTCAAGCAAGCTGATATGGATCTGCAGTTGCAATTGATCATACCCTCAAAAGGTTCATGGGACAGAAATTTCCACCTGTCCACTTTGAACTGTTGAGTTCCTTTCACAGGCATCAAGTAAAGTGAAATGCTGGTATGGTACAAGTAATAATCAAGCCCAATTACATAGATACCAAGGCTATGTTGACCGGATATAGTGAATAAAGCCATGCCCGAACTGACTTTTTTTTTAAGGCTCTACCGAGATGATGGTCTTATGAAAAATGATCAAAATTGACTACTGTCCACACTTGGACTTTCACTGCGGGGAACCTTCACCGAAACCAAATAAACTGATGAAAGTGCTTTAAAAAATGATGCATTGGCAGTATCAATCAAACTTCCGACTGTATCAATGATGTCTTCCATGACTACACCCAAAGGACAAACAACGCACTGGAAACTTGCCACATACGCGCTGCAGCACAGGGAAACGCGCAAAGCGCGCGGCATGCATGGTGTCCCTGCGCAGCTTGATCTTGCTCTTAGGCTGGAAGAACACTTTCCAGCGCTACTTTACAGACTTCCCTGGTTCACACTAGTCCTTACCGCTCGGGAAACGTTATCTTATCAGTTATCCTGACCAGGAGTTGAGCACTGGAGGTTAACTGCTGGACTCAGGAAAAGCAACAAAAAGGAAAATGTCCAAGGCCGTCTGCGCTGGACTTAAAATGGAAAAAGCGCACATCGTCGACATAAGCTCTACTTCCACCCCCCCAAAAAAAAGTTCGGTGCAGAAAGGGCTTAAGAAGGAATGTCAGCATTTGTGACACAGCTTGACACAGGAGCACAATAATTTGTACAAATGTCTGCATGACTACCCCTTCCACAAAATGGCTGTTCACTTCCAGAATCCTCCCCCCCCCGAAAAAAATAATAAATTTGATTCTATCACCAAAGCCTGAATATGCAACACAACTTGTAATACATTATTACAAATTCCTAAATACCTCAGACAGTCACCCTATGCAACAACTTGCGAATTGACCATGTATCAACATTTGATAATGCCTGCTGAGAAGTGTTAATGCCGGCTGTGTTAAATGCAGCCAAAGACCAGCCAAGCACGTATTTATTCCCTTAATGAATGGAGTATCCGTTGAATTTTTTTTGTTGGGGGAGGAGGGCAGTAATAGACCTACACTGAAGACACTACAGTTTACATGCTTTCCAATTGCGCTCAGTGGACGTGTTGCGCTCCGTGGCTCCCACTAGCTCCATAGGAAAGTGTATGTAAACAAACTGAGACATTATCAGCACATAAATCATGTTTTCAACTTAAGAGAAAAAAAAAATATCAGTCTGTTACCTGTAACAAATCCAGCCCCTGTGGGCATGCGCCACTGACATAGTTTTCCAGAGGGCGAGGCGGTGATGGGCGGAATGAGCTCCAAGGCAAAGAAACTTCAGGCCAATCCTCTTCAGGTGGCAAACCAATCACACTAAGACATTAAAAAAACAAACGATAAACAGTTCAGACGTTCATTCCAATCAAAATCCTGTGACTCTAAAAATAGTACACCTTGAACATGTACATCAATATTGACGTTCAGCAAAGCGTACTGATGAATTCAGTGTTTGTTTAAAACTCAACTACACTAACTATAATGGTGACAGTTTGATTGAGGTTCTCAGATGCTTGGCGGTTACATCTTGATGGTTCCCGGACCAAATGAATGTTTGTAACATATCTAACACAAGTGTCTCAACATGTATCACTTGCATATACAGTACATAAAGAGTGGAGTATTTGGCTAGAAAAATCTGAAGTTAGGTTAATACCAAAAACCTGGTACACGTACAAAAACACAAACAGGCTAATTTTATCATTTCTGCATGAAACTTCTGAATGAAAATGGGAAAACTGTTGTATTCAGTGACTGAATTTTAGCAACTGGTCTGATGAGATAATAAAGTACAGTGTACTTACTCAAATATTTTATAGAGCTGATCAACATCTGAATTTCCACAAAATAGCGGTCTAAAAGAACAAGAAATTTCACATTCTTATTGCAACAAACCAATTTACACGTGGCAATGGTGCATTTGACGATGTCTTTCACCCTCATTTTACCATTTGAGCTGTGTATCTCTTCAACAAATATATAGGCCCTAATCACCCAAACAGTCACAGAGGTCGAACAATGGGTGCAAATGCCATGCATCAATAAAAAAAAAACCCTAGCAGGTCAACCTGCACCAACATGAGACTCTGAATCACAAGACCAATTCCC